AGCAAATCTTGTTGGCCTTTTAGTCTGTTGTTTGGGATTGCAATTGATATTGGTAAATTGCTCTCCTGTCCAACGTAGGAATGACGGTAATATAAGTTGACTGGTAGCTTTTCTCATTTTATTTAGTAGTTATTCAAGAATTTTACTAGTTCAAAGCAAACTTGTTGAAATTGAAATGTTTAACCTTGCTTTATAATCAAGCTGTAAATGGCAACATAACTTGGAGATTGTGAGAACAAGTAAATTGCTATATCATAACTTTGTTTTTAGCTCCTTTGTTGAAGTATGAAATTCACATTGTTCTTTGACTGTTCTTTTCAGGCTCTTGATTTGCATTTTCGCAGAATTATTTACAGTGCTTTTCTTAAAATCACTGTTAAGCCTGTTAAGCTTTATTGATAAAAATATAAGCTTATTAGTTCAGAGAGACATCGAAATTTATAAAAGGAAAAGCTAGCTTCAGATTAGTTACATGTAAATACAAAAGCGACATATAAAGTCCGAATTCAGTATACATGCATGCCCGGCTGCAGGGTAAATAGTTGTAGTCCATTGTCCGTTTTCGAAAAACAAAATACAGAATTACTGAACACAAGTCCTTAGTTAGCTCTAGGTTAAGTTTAGGGTAAGGTCTGGGTTGGATTTAACGATGAAATTAATGATTTAGTCTCGACTGCCGGGTACGGAATTATTTGAAAACAATGGAATATTTACGCCTAAAAAGTTTGATTTGTAATTCATATATTACTAAGTTTTGTACATTATTATCTTACCGTGAAGTCTAAAGAGGAATAGAAACCGTTCATTTGCTTGAAGTTTATTTATAAGGCCGTGAAAGCTAAATTTTAGCAGAGACGCCATGTTGACACACGTACTCGAAGCGACTTATTGCAATCGTTACAATTCTACGCCAGAGAATATACTTTTTCCAATTTTTTCTCCTTTTGAATCCAGTTTTTCAAGGTACTGCGATGGTTCAGTTATTTTCAGCAAATATCAATTTATATAACACAGGAAACCCATCATGGTGAACCTGATTTTATTTACCGATCGCAAAAATTAAAAGAATTTCTTAAAAACCAAACTTTATTCAGAAACATGTAGTTATTGTTAGAAAAAGTAGAAAAGAAAAGAAAATCTCCAAAACATAAAAAAATGCTCTGTCACCAACTGGACTCGAACAGCGGTGCTCCCTATAAAACTAATATAAACATTAGGTAACACCTAATAGTGGAGCTCCAATAGCAATATAGAAGCTGAAAATGATTATCTTAGTACTGCTATTTCAAAGGTAGATGATTTGTTCTAAGGAATGTGAGCTACAACAGTTTTGTTGACATGCGAACAAATATTATAAAGAGTATGTTTATGAGAATTTAGTTCGTACTAATATTGACTTCGGTAGACTTTGTTCCGTTGGATGAAGTTTAAAATTATAATCTATAAAGGTCAATTGATTAAAAGTAAACTGAAAGCTTCTCGGCAAAAAGTAGTCTACATAAGCTTACAATAATCAACAATGTTTCAATAATCGATGTTTGAACCCGGACTACTCGAACTTCACATAATCACAGAAAACTGTATACAAAAATATATTTTTTACCTTCATTATCGAACTTCCGATAAATTATCGTTCAAAGGTCATCTTCAACAGAGCCATACTTGTTTCAAGCATAGGTTTCATCAATTTATTAAGTCATTCAAGACTGTAGATTCTTTGTTTTTAATCTCTCTCAATCTAACTGCTAGCATCTGGTAGTAGCATGGTCTTGGTTTCGAAATATCCACGCTTTTAGTCGAAAAAAGAACTTCGCATAGATCCCTGCTTTTTCCCATATTGGTCCATATTATTGAAGTATTTCCAATAAAGTATCATCTCTTTTTGTTGTCGAAATATCAAAGTAAAATCCTTCTTTCTAATATCACTTTTAAGATGGGCCTAAATTGCTTTTCATCTTCGCAAATCGATTTCCCGGATGTGCGGACGCGTCGAAGTTATGACAAAATTGGCGGGAATATTTCTGTG